CAGTTAGGGGTGCAGCGAAAGTGTCTTTCCGTTCGTCGATTATCTAACCTCCTTACCTTAATTTACTTCATTTTTTTTGTTATCCTCCTCGCAAGACGGGGACTTCTACCGCCTTGAACAGGTATGTTTGATTTGCTATCTTTTTTGACTTTGATTAAATCATTTTGTTTTGTTTAGGGATGCTTACGATATGTATCCTAGTTGTACTGCTTTTTCTCGTTATATTGTTACTGTTATCATTGCGAAACAATAGGCCATTGCCACTTCGACCTTCTTCAAAGGTAAGTCAATGAATGGTTTATTCAGCAAGTTTTAGTTACTCTGGGGAAATAAGGTTTTCGTGTTTTAAAGATATTCGAGGGGATTTTTGAGGGGGCATGACTTTTTTCTGTAATTTTTATCTTATATTGTATACTTTATTATATTCTGTGCTATCTAGAAGACAAATTTCTTAGTTGACTGTATGCTTGAAATCGGTTGAATATGGCTGGAATTTGATTTTTTTCGAACACTTTTGGCTTTAACAATTTCTCCCTCATTTTTCCATATATTTTTAACTAATTATGTGTTTGTTCGAGCTAGTTCATGGGTACAAATGGCACAATCAGCACTAGAATCTTAGTTTTGTAGGCTTAAATTTGTCACCCTGTACTTTTTTCCTTCTGTGTTGAAGAGACATTCGAAAGTTTGAGGAGCCGTTTTGAGACTGGCATCACTTCCTAATGTTTGAGAATACGTATACGTACATTACCTTTGCCTTATAGGTGCTTCTCGTCATTGCTCATCCTGACGATGAAACTATGTTTTTTACCCCAGCTTTACGTTCGTTATCTCTCGCCGGTCATCGCATTTTCATCCTATGTGTTTCAAATGGCAACTTTGAAGGACTCGTGGGTTTTTACGCAGTTTTTTTTTCGAAGTTTGAACTTTTTGTTTTTTAGGGTCGAAAAAGAACTTACGAACTTCGAGATGCTGTACAACACCTTGGTGTATCACCCTCTGACGTCACCGTACTCGATTATGACGTCTTTCAAGACGGAGGGCAATGGGATAAACAAGGCTTGGGCGATGTATTGTTAAGACATATGGAGGTTAGGAGGGCAACACAATTTTTGAGAAATTTCTTTTTGCCAAAGGTAATTTTCTTTTTACTGTTATGGTCCTCTACAGGTGCTCTCTGTTGATATGGTGTTGTCTTTCGATGGTGGCGGTGTGTCCAGTCACAAAAATCATGTAGCTTGTTTTGATGCATTGCAAGAAGTCTATACTCGAGGCATGATACCAGAAGATGTGCAGATTTTTGTGCTCGATTCCGTATCGATCTTTCGAAAGTGGGTTTGTTGCCTCAGTACGTTCTTTCTTTTAACGGTCATATTTTTTTAAGGTATGTAGGCATTTATGATGCTCCACTGTCGATAGCTCGTGCTCCTTTTCACTATTTTGCGAGAGGCCGTGACGTAGCAGCTGCATGGCGTGCTATGTGCAGACATCGCTCACAATTTGTATGGTTTCGATTTCTATATATGATCTTCAGTAGGTGAGAACATAATTTTTATTCAGTATAACATAAATATCTTCTTTGTTTATCATTTTTTAGTAAGGCCCATATTGTCTGTGTTTTACGGTATACCGTACCCAGGAGGTTTCTTCAGGCAAAAATTTGCATACATTGAAACCAAAAAAA